GCCAGAACAATCCTCAGCAAAAAAGGCATAGCAGGAGATATCACATTGCCAGACTTCAAACTTTACTATAAAGCTACAATCATCAAAACAGCTTGGTATTGGTATAGGAACAGGCATATAGATCAATGGAATAGAATTGAGATTCCAGAAGCAAAACCTCAATTTCTCAACCAACTCATCTTCGACAAGGCCTCCACCACCTACCACTGGGGAAAGGAGAACCTATTCAGTAAATGGTTCCGGGAAAACTGGCTGACCAGATGCAGAAGATTGAAACAGGACCCCTATCTATCCCCATGCACAAAGGTTAACTCAAATGGATCAGAGACCTAAAAGTAAAACCTCAAACCATAAGAACCTTAGAAAATGAAGGAAATACCCTCATGGAAATCGGAACTGGCATCCAATTCCTGAACAAAACCCGAAACCCACAGGTCATAAGAGAGAAGATAGACAAGTGGGACCTCATTAAACTGACAAGCTTCTGCAAGGCCAAAGAAACCATCAAGAGAGCAGGGAGACAGCCTACAGACTGGGAAAAAGTATTTGCCAGCACCAGGTCTGACAAAGGCTTAACATCCTGGATCTAAAAGGAACTAAAACATGCTAAAAAGAAAAAAACAAACAACCCCATTATAAAATGGGCAAAAGATATGAACAGACATTTCACAAAAGAGGACATCCGAGCAGCCAACAAACACATGAAGAAATGCTCAACCTCACTAATTATCAGAGATGCAAATCAAAACCACACTGAGATACCACCTAACTCCAGTCAGAATGGCAATTATCAACAACTCAAAAAATAACAGCTGCTGGAAAGGGTGTGGTGAAAAGGAAACACTTCTACACTGTTGGTGGGAGTGTAAACTAGTGCAACCTCTGTGGAAAGCAGTGTGGCGATTCCTAAAAGCTCTAAATATTGACCTCCCATATGACCCCGCAATCCCCCTACTGGGAATATACCCCAAAGAACTCAAATCACTCTATAAAAAAGATACCTGCACATGTATGTTTATCGCAGCGTTGTTCACAATAGCAAGAACCTGGAAACAACCATGCTGCCCATCAAAAGAGGACTGGATTAAAAAGTGGTACATATACACGATGGAATACTACGCAGCCATAAAAAAGAACAAAATCATGAATTTCGCAGCAACCTGAATGGAACTAGAATCTATAATACTGAGTGACCTCTCACAGAAACAAAGATCCGAGTATCACATGTTCTCACTCATATAATGGACCTTGAACATCCAATGTAATATTATAAGAAAATGACTGACTGTACTGGGAAACTATGGGAGAAGATGGGATTAACAGTAGCAAATATCTGTCTGGGGATTGGGAAACACCTCTTATCAACAGGGTGCCTGAATGAAATGTAATTGTACACCTAACACTTAACTGTACCCCACAAACCCATAATAAAAAATAATGATTATGAAAAAAAAAGAAAAAAAGAAATATGTAAACTATGTAACTACAGTAAGGTTTTGTTTCCTTATTCTATGCCAAAATGCTATAAATAAAGGTGTTATACAAAAAATAAAAAAATAAAACAAAAAGACTTGGAACACATGGTGCTCACAGTTCTTTCACATTCTGTGCACATCAAAAAAGTAAGCCCCACACTTTATTTCTTGATCATGGACTAGTCTGTGAGAGAACAGTCTGTGTAGAAGACTATTTTCTCTATGTGGTGATTCATGGACCCAGGTTCCTTCTATCTTATGATACTATTTCTTTTTTTTTGAGTTAGAGTCTCACTCTGTCACCCAGGCTAGAGTGCAGTGGCATGCTCTCGGTCACTGCAGCCTTGACCTGCTGGGCTCAAGTGATCCTGCCACCTCAGCCTTCCAAGTAGCTGGAGCTACAGGCACACGCCACCACGCCCAGCAAATTTTTTGATTTATTGTAAAGAAGAGGTCTCGTCAAGTTGCCCAGGCTGGTCTCGAACCCCTTGGCTCAGGCAATCCTCTCGCCTCGGCCTCCCAAAGTGCTGGGATTACAGGCATGAGCCACTGTGCCCAGCTCCTATTTCTTTTAAAGTCGTAGAGTCTGACCAGCAGATGAGAAAGAAGATAGAAAAGACACACTCACTCCTTGACTGTCTTGGCCCAGTAGTGTCACTTCCGCTAACATTCCAAGGGTGAGACCTAGACTGTGTTTGCTCCTAGATGCCAGAGCAGCTGGGGAGTCTGGTCCTGGCTGGGAAAATCCAGGAACAGCCTTATTTTATGGAAGGGGAGAGGAAACATTTGGCAGAGAGCTAGTCAGTTCTGCCATGTGGGTGGGATTTGGTTCTGAACTTGTGCCCAGCCCCTTCTCCTACAAGTGGGCTGTCTTGTTTCCAAGACAATCTGGAAGCCAGTGGTCCTCATTTATTACCTTGAGGCAGAGTCCTAGTTTATTGCCTGTCATAATTTTTACAGCTGGTCAAAGGGGCCACAACTGCTGGGCAAAACTCCCACAGCTCAGGGGGCCAGTGCCCCCAACAGGGCCTGAAAGGGCCAACCAGAACCCAAGGGAGAGGGAGTAAGAGAGGTGGTCCTGCTTTTGCAGCATGAGAAGAGGAGGAAGAGTAGAAGAATAGTCAGCCATGTTCTGAAATGAGGAAGTGGACCGCCTGCCTGCTTTCATTTGTCGGGTAAATGTTTGACTGGATGTTTGCTTTTTCTCAGTTTTTGGGTGTCGCGAAGAGAACTGGGCAGGACACAAGCTCACTGGAAGCAGCCATACCAAGAGCCCAGAGGAGCCCAAAGAACAATCCAGAGAAACTTCCTTTGCCAGCATACTGCCCACCGGGACCGCAGGTGGTACTTCCCCATCAAGATGCTTCCAGAAAACACAAGGTGAGCTTTAAGAGACAGGTTTGAAACAAGTCATGCTGGCCAGCCGCATGTTCCTGGCAACTGCCTTCTTTGATGTTGGTGATTAATGGAAGCCGGGAGGAAGGCAGGGTTTAGTTTATCTGTAGGCAGGCTGGCATGGAGAAAGAACCATTGATAGGTTACTGGGTCAGTGAATAGGTTTCCTTTTGTCTTCAGTTCAGAGACACAGAGTGGAGTGGGCAGAGCCCAGATGTGGCGTTAGAGGACCTGGGTTCAAATCCTGATTCTGCAGTTTCTGACAAATCTTTTTTTTTTTTTTTTGAGTTCGAGTCTCACTCTGTCGCCCAGACTGGAGTGCAGTGGCCACTCCCGGCCACCGCAGCCTCGACCCACTGGGCTCTGGCGATCCTTCCACCTCAGCTTTCCGAGTAGCTAGAACTACAGGCACCCTACCACAGGTGTGCTACCACACCCAGCTAATTTTTGATTTATTGTAGAGATGAGTTCTTGCTGCCCAGGCGGGTCTCGAACCCGCGGGCTCAGGCAGTCCACTCACCTCAGCCTCCCAAAGGCGTGGGATTACAGGCTGAGCCACTGAGCCCGGCTTCTGACAAATCTCAAAGCCTCAGTGTTTTCATCCATTAGTCAAATATAATAATAACACTTGTCCCACCCAAACCACAGCTTGTGAAGATCATATAAGAACAAGAAGGCAAAAATTGGAGATCTGTAAAGCCCTGCCCAGATGGCAGAAGTTAAGCATTCTTACTCTAACCTCTAAACATTTAAGATTCAAGAACTGAAAAGGCTACTTTAAAAAATAACAACAAAAAAAACCCATTGTCTTTTGGTGTCATAGCATCTGTTTAGAATGTTGAGGGATAAGCACTACAGAGAATGAAAGGGAGAAAATCAACCATGAAAACAGGAATAACGAGAGTCACTTGGAGGAAGGGGGTATCTAGCGGGAGGGTCTGAGAGCAATGGATGAAACAGACATGTGGCCAGGAATAGACCAGAGTGGTGCCTTGAAGGACAGGTGGACAGAGTGTGTTGGTGGCGGGGGGGGTTCAGTTGGAAGTTGGTAGAGCCTGGAACTGGAAAATCTAAGAGGATTGGTTGTTTCTCCCCCTCTCTCCAGCTGGGTTCCTTGGACTGAGAGAAGGGGAAAGGCTAAGGCCACAGGGGGAGGGATGTGGTCAAAGAATAGAGAATGAGTAGGTGGTAGGAGCTTGGACAGGAGGCTACTGCCATAGTCCGGACAAGCAGAACGGTGACCTGGACAGAGGTGGTGGCTATGTGGGTAGGAAGATGTGTCTGGATTCAGCAGGGATTGGAGAGGAAGGAACAGAGGATGACCCTGGGTCCCTGATTTGAATGAATGGGTGGGTGGCGGTGCCACTCTTGAGATGAGGACCCCAGGGGAGGGAGAAGGGGAATTTAGTTGGGACAGGTTGAACTGAGGTGCCCAAGTGACATTCAAAAAGCGATAACCAGAAGGCAGGTAATTGGCCCTGTGGTCTGGACTCAGAAGAAAAGTCTGGGCTGGACCCAGAGAACACAGCCCACCCCTTAATACCAGTTATGCCCCCTAGAGTCTTGACATTCCTTTGAAGTGAGCATCATGCTCCTATGAGTCCATTCATCCCTCCCAGGGCTCCTCTCTACCAGTATCCTCTCCTAGGATACGGTTCAGCTTGTCACAGGGTAGGGCTCAGGCCTGAGCATAAGACAGATTTGTCTACCAGTGAAGAGGAGGGGATCACTGTCCCCTCCAAGGGTCCTAGACATGAAACCTTGATCAATGTCTTAATGTCATTTTGGTGCCTGAATATATTTCCTGTTTAGGAAATATAAGAAGGGTTCAATTTCCAACTCTGCCATCCACTAGCTAAGTGACTTTGATCTTACAGAACCTCTCTAAAGCCTCAGTTTCCTCATCTGTAAAGTCAGAATACTAGTTCATGCTGCATACATTGTGAAAGAATTAAATGAGATAATAAATATAAGAACCTTAGCCCAATGTCTAGTTCATGATACACATCCATAAATGATAGCTATTATTGTTATTTTTTATTAAGTGAAACAAAATGAAAATTAATGGTTCTTTGTTGGGTGGTTAAGAAAAGGGAACCAGGCATGGCAGAGTGTTCCTGTAATCCAGCACTTCAGAAGACCAAGGTCAAGTTTCAGAAGTCCAAGCTTCAGAAGGCCAAGGCCAAGCTCCTCCCTCTCTCCCTCCAACAATTAGAAGGAAGCTGGCTTACCAAAAACCTTGGTATAGACCAGTTGCTCATGGTGGCTTATGCCTGTAATCCCAGCAATTTGGGAGGCCAAGGTGGGAGGATTGTTTAAGGTCAGAAGTTTGAGATCAACCTGGGCAACACAGCGAGACCCTGTCTCCATAAAAAATAAGAAAATTAGCTAGGCACGATGGTGCACCTGTAGTCCTACCTATTCAGGAGGCTGAGGTGGGAGGATCCCTTGAGCCCAGGAGTTGGAGGCTGCAGTGACTATGATCGCACCACGGTACTACAGCCTGGGTGACAGAATGAGACCCTGTCTCTAAAAAAAAAAAAAAAAAAAAAAATGGCAGGAGTAGAAAAAGAAGAAAGAGATTTTGTCTTTTTCAATCACCAATTTTTTTCATAGGCACACTCTGAACTTTTCAGACATGCATGAAAACCCCCATGGACAACGTGTAAGGTAGGGTATAGTCCCAGAGCTGACCATCCCTAGCTGAATGTACAGTAAGGTCAACATAGGGACATCAAGGGAAAGGCAATGGGCACAGATATCTAAATACACAGAGAAGAAGAGAAAAATGGAATAAAAACAAGATGTTTCATGTGTATGCATCATTGCAGAATCCTCTAATCCTCAGAGAGTCACAGAAAGTGGCAGACACAGGGACAAGCCAACAGAGAGTAAGAGAAAGACAGACAGAACTGCATATGTCAGGCTGAGAGGCAGGCCTGACATAAAGAAGAACGAACTGGGAAGAAAACAAAAAAGACAGGCAGCAAGGCTATATGGGTTTTGGTATTTGTGAAGTTCCCCTTTTTTTATTTTAAAGATTTAAACTTTTTACTATGAAAACATGCAAACCCATACAAAAGAAGAGAGAACTTAATGAACCCCCACCTACCTACCAACCAGCTTCAATAATGATTAACAATTGACCAATCTTGTTTCATTGCTACCTTATCCCCTCCCACTCCTTCCCATATTGTTTCATCATGGATTTAGTTTCATTTTTGTATCTTTTAAAAATTTTTTATTTTGAGTCAGGGTCTCACTCTGTTGTCCAGGCTGGAGTGCAGTGGCATGATCACAATCACAGCTCCCCGAAGTCTCGACTTCCTGGGCTCAGGCAGTCCTTCCCCCTCAGCCTCCCAAGTAGCTGCAACTAAAGGCGTGTGCCACCACACCTGGCTAATTTTTTGATTTTTTGATTTTTTTTTTTTTTGTAGAGATGAGGTCTTGCTCTATGTTCCTCAGGCTGGTCCTGAACTCCTGGGCTCAACTAACTCTTTTGCTTCAGCCTCCCAAAGTGCTGGGATTATAAGTGTGAGCCACTGTACTTGGGTAGATTTCACTCTTGAAAAGAAGTTTGCATTCTCCCATTGCATGCTTAAGCCAAGCACAGGTGACCTGGTACCCAAGTTCACTCTTAAACCTTCACAAGCGTCTGCCAGTCTCTCATCTCCATTCTGAACTCAGATTGCCCTGGCCATAGGAGCTGAAAATTATGCCAAGGAATCAGAATTGAACAGTTTGAAAATCCTTGTATGATCATCCAGATTTTCAGAGCTCGAAGTCTAGCTTCCCCACTTTGTAGTTGTGCAAGCTTGGACAAGCTTCTTGATGTTTTGGTGCCTCAGTTTCCTCAGTTTGAGAATGCAAACTTCATGTGATGCATACACATGAAACATCTTGTTTTTATTCCATTTTTCTCTTCTTCTCTGTGTATCTAGATATCTGTGCCCATTGCCTTTCCCTTGATGTCCCTCCATTCTGTGAAATGGAGTGATAATAGTACCTTTCCCATAGGGCTGCTGTGAGGATGAAATTAGTTAATAGACACACATAACCTTGAAACATAGCTTGGCACATATAGCAGGCCCTCAAGGGACGTCAGCTTTCTTTCTTTTTTTCTTTTTTTGAGTTGGAGTCTCACTCTGTCGCCCAGACTGGAGTGCAGTGGCTGCTCCTGGCCACTGCAGCATCGACCTGCTGGGCTCCGGCGATCCTTCTGCCTCAGCCTTCCAAGTAGCCGGAATTACAGGCATGCGCTACCACGCCCGGTTGATTTTTTTATTTATTGTAGAGATGAGGTCTCGCTGCCCAGACAGGTCTCGAACTCGCAGGCTCAGGCAATCCACTCACCTCAGCCTCCCAAAGGTACGGGATTACAGGCTGAGCCACTGAGCCCGGCTGGATGTCAGCTTTCTATCCATCCATTTAGGAAACATCAGTAAGCACCTACTGTTGTTAGAGTTATGGCCAGGGGCAGAGTACCTAGAGCTAAAAAAGAAGGGTGCCTGCCCTCAAGGAGCTCCCCATCCAGTGGAGGACATAGCCCCATGAAAAGACGGTTCCAAACAGTATACTGGCTGCTGTGACTATGGGGTGTTTCTCAAGCAACCTATCTCCTTAATTCGGAAGTGACCAAACCAAGACCCAAGGGTCCCTCAAGTCTCAGGAGCCACAGTGCTTAGCAGCAGAGCTGGGTTGGACTCAAAGCAGTTTTTCCTGGCCAGGTCTCTTCACATGAAGGCTTCAAAGGAGGTCAGCAGGTCAGGAGGGCAGCTGGGCCATTCTGGGCAAAGGTGTGGTGCTTTGGGCCACTCTTCCTGCAGCACGGAAGTACCACACTGGTCACAAGGGCCAGGAATGGGAGGACGCTCTGGCTACTGGTTAACCAGATGAGAGACTGATGTGGTGACAGGCCCAAGGGCAGGGGAGTCGCTGACACCTGATCCCAGCAGAAGGCCAGGGATGCCGGGCCAGCCTGGCTG